GGACCTTCTGAACCGAGGCCCCACTGGTGAGGGTGTTCAAGGACAGGCTGGACATGCACATGGTGGGCATGTTGTGAGCAGAGCCGGCTGGTGCTGGAGGTCAGACTAGATGACCCGGGAGACCCCTTCTGACTCGCTCGGTTTCTATGTTTCTATGTTTCTGCTGCCCGGTCTCCTCCACAACTGGTGCATACAGGCACACCACCTCTGCTAAAGGAGGTCCCACGTAAAGGAGGTCCCACATAGCCAGCAGAGCTTCTCTTAGAGGTTCCCCTTCTTTTGTCATCTGGAGATACCAGGCACTGGATGTGGGTCCTTCTGCATGTAAACCTTGAGCTACAGCATCCGCTCACAAATCCACTCTCTTGCGCCGATGCACTGACACCTTGATCCAGGCGTCCTCCATTCTACCTGCATAAGCTCGCCTGGTTTTTTCTTTTCTCCTCCAACACGGTTGAATATTGCTATGTTCTCGGCAAAAGTTTCTTGCTCTACCTTTATTTAAATCTCTTGGATGTCTGCAACAACTCCGAGCAAGGGGAATCTCGCCTCCTTCCTCTGTCGACAGTAGCAATCTGTAAGCAGCCACCCACTTAAGAGCCAAGATGTCCGTCTGGGGGGAGCGCCCTGTCATCTGGCGTGCTTGTTTTGATGAATGCATGGGCAGAGGGTGTGGTTTCGTTTTGGTTTTTGGGACTTGTTTGAACAAGAAGCTGCGAAGTGAGTCTCCCCAGTTTGTTTTTCTGCCTGCAGCAGGTCAAAAATCCTCTTTCTTCTGAGTGATTATGTCTCTCAGAAGGAAAACAAAAAATGGTTGGAATTTTGGCCTGCAGATTTGTTGTGACTGTTTAATGTGTCAGTGTGTTTGTCAGGTACTAGGAGAGCTGAAAGCAAGTGGGGGAGAGGTTGAGAGAGAGAGAGAGAGAGGAAGACAGTTTGCGACACGCCAAATTTGGAATTAGGCCTTTTGGGAGGTATGTGTTGCAACCGGTTTTCCTGCATAAATATAAACCTGCATTGGGTGTGTTGTGAGGTGCTTTTTCTACGGCTCTGATTGGTAGGTGGTGAGGAACTTAGGAGGTTCCCTCACTACACCTCTGTGATTTCTTCAATGAAAAGTGAGGCTCTTCTCCTTCCTCCACTGTATCTAGTGGAGGCTGAAGTTCTATAGCAGACTTTGAATTCTGGCTGCCCCCTGTATTCAGAACAGCATCTTGGAAACCTCTGCTGAGGCATTCAAATGCCTTCCCTTCTCTGGAGTTTGGGGAATGCACTGCACTAGTTTATACCAGGAGTAAGGAGTAAGTACGGGCCTCTTTTAAGCTTTTTGAACTTTCCTCTGATCCAGAGAGGCTAAGCTGAAAATAAATCCATCCTTTCTTGTCCTGTCTTTTATTGCATGGGCAGGCGTGGCAAAAATGAGCCATCTCAGGCCGGTGGCATGCTTGTTTCTTTCTGCCCTAGCTTCTTAGTTCTTTGCACTCTCCCTGTACCTTTTGCAGATGTTCAACAGCTGCTTTCTTTCTTGGTGTACAGCTGGCTGGTTTCTACTGCATTTGTCCTCAGACCTGAGGACAAGTGCATGGTACCTGTTTCACAGATACTTATGCATTTGAATAAAAGAGGGATTTTGAAACATGATATATTTTGTGATAATCAGGAGTGAGATATAGTATTAGCCTCCTTTCCTCTGTACAGAAAAAAGGCACGCGTGTGACATTAAACTGTGAAAATGTGCTTTTGAAGTACATGGAAAATTAGAACTGCATTTTTTAAAAAAGATAAAGCAAATTCAGAGCATTGTCCCAATGCAAATTCCCCTGCGCAAAGCCCATTGACGTGGACGTGTTCTTGAGAGTATATATACACCAAGTGAGACCATTTGCCACCCATCCATGCATTGTCTATTCCAAGGGGCCGTTGGCCTCTCCAGTCTCCAGCATGGTTTATTTTCCATTCCTTTGCAGCTGGAGCTTCTAGAGACTAGGCTTGAGACCCCCGATTTCTGCCCCTCTGGGCTTTGGTTCCTTCCCTCAGACCTCTTGCTTTTTTACAAAAAGAGTACATCCCACAAATGGCCAACTCATTTTGTCCTTCCAAACGTCCTGCTATGAAACATCTCATCCCTTACAGAAGCTTCTTTGGTGCAGCCCAAGTGGCTTTGGGGCAGGATTAATCAGTTCTATTGCACCAAATAGTATTCTTTCTGCCCCACTCCCAATTCCTACCAAAATAATTTGCACACGTCAATTGGAAAAGAGCATGGAAATGGCTCACACATTGGCCAAGATGAATATTTTGGGTCCCCTCCTGTCTTTCTTACTCAGCATGATTCAGTCGCAGGTGCAAAGCACGGTCAGCTGATATTAACTGCTAAATAAATATGGCAAGTGGTTTCTTGAAGGGGGTAGAAAAAGAGAAGTGCTTTCTTGAATCAAGCGCATATGCAAAGCAATCCCAGGCTTAGGTGTACAGCTAAAACTGTGAATGCTTGCAGGTGTGTAGTGTGCAGGGATGCATGCTGGGAACCAGTGTTGTGGCTTGTACACTTGGAGGGGCAACTCCAAGTAAAACACATCATTATGTATCATAGGCTGCTGCTACTGAATCCTTCAGACAGCCTTTCAAGTGCCCTCTATATATCACTGCTCCCAGCATCCTTCAAAACATCTGGATGGCACCTGTGTATTTTAGCCAGCCTTTCCCAGAAAGGCCAGCAAATTCCAGAATTGCAAGACAAATGCAGTGGAGCCTGAAATTCCACCACTGGGATGGAAGGTGATGATTAACATTGGCAAATGCTGTAACAAAATTGCTGTTTGGGGCATCTATGGAAAGACTGGAAGACGTAAACCAGTGTGGGACTACACCTTCAGTCTTGCTCATCTTGCACTTTAGTGCTGAGCAGATAATGAGTCACTAAATGGAATTCCTGCTTCGGAAAAGTGCTTTCCCTTGTTGCCTGTGTTTATTTTTTTTTAGCAAGGGGCAGTGTCTTCCTGCCTAGAAATGGAAGTACATTTTCAGAACTGCCACTGCAAGTTTTCTGTGCACACTGCTAATGACTGCCAATGAAGAGCTATTTCTAATCATGCATTGTTCATCTGGAAGAAAGTTTTCTTCTCTATGAAAACACCATTAAAGCTCATAGTATAGTCGGCAAGTATCTGATAAGATAGAAACATAGAAAGAGTGAGTCAGAAGGTGCCTCCCAGGCCATCTAGTCTGACCCCTGGCTCCAGCCGGCTCCACTCACGACATGCCCACCATGTGCATGTCCAGCCTGTCTTTGAACACCCTCACCGATGGGGCCTCAACCACCTCCCATGGAAGCCCATTCCACACCCTCGGGGTCCTGACTGTCAGGAAGTGCTTCCTGGCATCCAAATAGAACCTTGGTTCCCTGAGCTTTGCTCCGTTGGAGGGTGTCCGAAGAGGATATCTCTTCATTGGTCATTATAATTAAGGATGCAGTCCTGTGCATGTTTAGATGGGAAAAGGGCCTTCAACTCCCAGCATGCCTTGCCATGCTGGCTCAGGAATCTGGGAATTGCAGGACATTCCCCAATCTAAATATAGATAGGATTGTGTGATAGGAATCTCTAGATGGGTTCAGACAACAAGCCATGGTGGTTGGTTTGTTTACCATTGTTGTTCTGTTGTGTTGTCTGAACCTCATCATGGTTCAGAACCAAGATTTAAGGTTGGATGCCAGGAAGTACTTCCCAATGGTTAGGACCCCGAGGGTATGCAATGGGCTTCCCCGGGAGGTGGTTGAGACCCCATCAGTGCGGGTGTTCAAGGATAGGCTGGATGTGTTGTCATGAGCGGAGCCGGCTGGAGCCAGGGGTCCGTCCGTCCTTCCTTCCTTCCTTCCTATTAACTGAAGCATTGTGGGCACTTTGCAGCAATTTATTTAACAAACAACACAGTAAAACATCATGCAGGTTTCTAAAGTACAAAAATAAGAAGGCAGCTGAAACAATACACGGTGCAGACTAGACCCGTAAAATTCCTGGAAGGGTGCTTCCTTGGAGCCCCTGAACAGGCTAAGATGTCTTTAAATGCCTCAGCACAGAAGGTTGTCCTAACCTGGCCCTGAAAGGAGAGAATCCTATCAGCTAACACCCAATTTTATGGATCTAGTATCACCTGCTCGGTTTTAAGGGAATACCGTGTGATACTGGGTATATTTTGTGCTAGCTGACAGAGTAAAATTGGATAGGATTCATCTTTCTTTGTGCAGAAATCATGTACTTTTGCTGGTTCCTCTCAGTTTAGCATCAACTGTGTGCTAGCTGGGCATTGCATAGACACCCCAACCCCTTCCTTAAGAGAAGGATAGAAAGCTTGTGGACCTTCAGTCCACCAGCTCTAGCTAGCTTGGCCAACAGTAAGGGCTCCTGGGAGTTGCAGGCTGATACTTCTGAAGGCCAACAAGCTGCCCACCCATGCTGTGGAGCAGGCAAGCATAACAATAGTTATCCAACATTATCTTTGGGGGAAACACTATCCTAAAACTTAATATGGCACATGCTACACACTCACACAGAGACACACACACACATAAATTGGACTAAAATGAGCAAAGGGTATATTTCTTTACTTCAGGGTGAAAGCTATAAAAGGATGAAAGTAGAACTAATGCTTGCCTCAGGTATATTAATCTCAATAGCTAATTTCTTTATGGAGTAAAATTCTAGAAGGCAGCAGAATCGCTTTTGATGCAGTTTCATTACAGTAACGTGCGCTTTTTAATAGAGCTACCAGGAAGCATGCTGACTACAAAGGGAGGAAGTGAGGGCGCCAAAAGAGATATCAGAAATATTTAATTTGCTCCTCCGTAAATAGGGCTAAGTTTCCCCATCATTGTGTATCTGCACCAGTTTCATTCCCTAGAAAACATTCTAATAACCTTCAAACGTTTTCTGCAGTGCTGATGAGCCACATTCTCATTTTGCAATTAGAACGGCTCTTCTTTATGTCCTCCTTGTCTTCAGAGTCAACGACTGCATCTTGAGAGTGAATGAGGTCGATGTCTCGGAAGTTTCGCACAGCAAAGCTGTTGAAGCGCTCAAGGAAGCGGGCTCTATAGTGCGGTTGTACGTCCGCCGAAGAAGACCTATTCTGGAAACTGTTGTCGAAATCAAACTGTTCAAGGGACCCAAAGGTAAGAGTGAAAATGGAATGAATCAGAATATCCCTAGGGAACATAAGGACTGAAGGAATGTAAGGACACAGGAAGCCGTCTCATGCCGGGTCAGACTAAGGCCTTATTTGGACAGCTGACCCCTGGCTTCATTAACCTTGGAAGATTATCTGATGTGTTCTTGGTGCCATTGCACCACTGGATTTGAAAGTCATAGAAGCATAGAAACAGGGTGAGTCAGAAGGGGTCTCCTGGGCCATCTCGTCTGACCTCCAGCACCAGCCGGCTCCGCTCATGTCCAGCCTATCCTTGAACACCCTCATTGATGGGCCTCAACCACCTCCCATGGAAGCCCATTCCACGTCCTAGGGGTCCTCACCATCAGGAAGTACTTCCTGGCATCCAAACTGAACCTTGGAAGTCCACCTGTGAAGCCTACACCCAAGTGCAAACAGGCACTTTTGCACAAGAACACATCAGATATACAGCACCTGATTCTGGTTTATTGCCATGTTAACCAACATTAAACGAGTTCTCTGGATGGGGAATAGCTGAGAATTCTGGCCTTACGCAAGTCAGAGTACAAAGAGCAGAGGGGGAGAACACGGATATGGCGTTCATCCACAGCTGCACACCGTGGCCCTTTTTCAGCATCTGTAATGACCAAATTTGAACAGAACCAGATTGACAGCCAGTGTGATGTACTGGTTAAGAGTGTTGGACTGGGATTTGGAAGATCTGGCTTCTATTATGAAATGCACTGGGTGGCTTTGAGCTCGTCACATACTCACAAGCCAACCTCACAGGGCTGCTGTTGAGAAGATCAGATGGAGAGGAAGAGGAGAGTTTTGTAAGACACCCTGGCTTCCTTCCAAGAGGAAGAAAGAAGGGATGTGAGTGCTATGGAATAATAATAATTTAAACCAGTCTTTAGCTTAGCTGGTTGCAAACTCAGAGGTGAGAAGAACAAAATTATATTATATTCTGTAAGCTTTTGGTAAAGCAGTAAAACATAATCATGCCTGACATTACAAATAAATACATTGCAGGAAAAGAAATTAAGCACTTGCACTCTGACAGCAAAATCCTTGTGAAGTTTTCGTTTTCACTGCTGCAACCTGGAACCATTTTGTGTTACTCATTGTTAGAAAGCAAGAGAGAAAGAGATTTTTAAAATGCTTTTCTAACAAGCTGTAGCTTTTAACCTTCTGACATTTCAGCTATTGATTGGATCATCCAAGCATTCTGGAAATGTGTTTTGCTTGGAAACTTAGGCAGCAGTGCTTGAATGTTACTGTTACAGTAGGTTAGATTTCCATTTCACCACCACAGAGCAGGGTGAGAGCGAAAAGCAGATTTGATTTCCTCTAGCACAGCATACGGTGATCTGTCTCCTGGCAGAATTGTAAGGGGATGACAATGAGGCCTGACTCCCAGGGTCCCAGCAGGTTCTGCTGACACTAACCTGTGTCTCCTGTACAGGGAGCTGCACCTTTAAATTCCACACAGTGCCCCAAGCAATGCTATATTGAGCATTCTGTAGCTCTATGGGAAATTGAGAGGTGTGGCTGGAAACTGTTGCTGCCATGTAAGCCCAAAACCAGAGGAGTGCACCGACATGAGGCGAACCCACGGAGGGGCCTCCTAAGCCAGGAACCAGTCCTGGGCGATGGGATACCATCCTGCCAAATCTGTGGCAATGGCCCTGGATTCCAGCTGCATCCAGGCCCAGGTCAAGGTGCTTGTTTGAGCTTTGGAAGCCCTCTGTGTCTCGCATCCTGCACAGCAGAGGTGGCTACTGATGAATTGGAGAGGAGAGGAGAGGAGAGGAGAGGAGAGGAGAAATGCATTGCCCAAGAAAGTGGATTCTGTTAATGTTGCATGGGCTCAATGACAGGTCTGGATGCACTTTTAGAAATAATTAATACAATATACATGTGTTTGAAAGATTTCCTTCAAAAGGTCTGGTGGCATTTGAAGAGCAGTGGAAAATCCACTTCTTAGGTAAGGCTGCAGACTTGGGACTCCCAAAGGACACGCTAATTGTTGACCAGTGTGGGTTTTTTCTGGTTGGTTCGCATTGCTATAGCTATTGTTTCTGATTGTCTGAGGGTTTTAAAGGGCATTGTTGGGGTCAGTTTATAAGCTGTGTTTCTTCTGAGCTGCAAAAGGAGAGGCAAAACCATGGGAAAAATGGTTTTGGCCAAACCAGAGATCAAGCATGATCTGCCTCTGTGGTAGTTCTTTATGGAACTGGTCTTGAGGCCTAAGAGCTCCTGCAGATGTGGAACTTCTGCATCTGGTTCTCCTGTGAAATTCTTCTGGATCTGGGTGGATGCTGGACAGCCCTCCCTGAGTGTCTGCCGTAAGGGGAGGTTTGCTGGACAGCAACCAGGCATGTTTGGCATAAAGGTCCTTCTGCTGATAACAAAACCTTAAGAGAGGGGGCAGGGAAGCTGCATGAAAGCTGGGAAACCAGTCAAGCATTGATGAGTCCCACAGGGACCCCAGAAAGCCAGACTGGGACCTCAGAGGGTCAGATTCAGTGGGATTCAGGCCTCAGACCTGAAGTTCTGCATCACTAGTTTCTATAAACCCATCCCTGAAGCAGATCTGGAAACCACAGATTTGACATGGCTTTCTAATCCTGTTTTGGAGCAAGTGTTTTGCCAAGGTATGAGATACTTGGAAGGTGCAAAGAAAAGGATGCGTATGCATAAGATCATGGGGAAATGCTTGGACCATGACATCTGGAACAAGCCAAAATTATGCAGATGCAAGCCATGTAGTCAAATTCACCAGCCAGGAACTGTACACACTGTGCACCTTCTGAAGCTTCTGAAAAGGCTGAGCTTTTTCCTTTTTGCATGTGTCCAAAAGCACAAGATCTGCTTATGGACTGACGGAGGCCTGGGGGCCTTGAGAAGTGCTGCTGGAGAATTCCCAGGCAACGTAGCCTATGCTGGAGGTCCGGAGCTGCACTCCTGAAGGCCTTCGCTATTTCCGATTTGCCCAAGGCCCTTCAGATCAGTGAAGGGGCAGAGGCTTCAGGTGGTGCAATGTGTTGGTCCTTGGAAGCTCTCTGGCCAGCATCTGGTTTCTGGACCCAAGGCCATGGCCAGCTTGGCTTTTCTCTCCCCTCTGCTATTTTAGACTGCCTGGGCCACACGCGTCACTCACTGCCCTGAAGGCAGGACTCTTGCCTTTTGGAGCATGAAGAGCAACTGAAAGGTGAAGTTTGTGTCGAAGGAAGTTCTTCTTCGGAGTGGGAATCTAATTTATTTATTTATTTAATTTAAAACATTTCTATGCCGCCCCCATCGCAACAAAGCCTCGGGGTGGCTCACAACAAGAACAAAATATACAAATATAACAAATTATACAATAAAAATATTAAAACCCAGTGCATCTTGGCTTAAAAGGTTTAAAATCCTATAAATACCAATAAATTAACAATTAAAATAAGTTTTAAATAAAAAGGTCTTAGCCTGGCGCCAAAAAACAAATAACGACGGCGCCAGACGGACCTCTCTGGGGAGTGCATTCCATAGGTGGGGCGCCACCGCAGAGAAGGCCCTCCTCCGGGTACTCACCCTCCTAATATCATTCACAGAGGGTTTCTGGAGAAGGGCATCTGTTGCTGATCCCAAGGGGTGGGAGGGCATATATGGACACAAGCGTTCCTTCCGGGTTCTCATGGAGTAATCCTTGCTTCTTGCGGCCTCCCCATCGCTCATCTCCCCCAAACCTGAATGATTCATGAAAGCTGTGAGAAATATCTGCACAGTATCTAGGCATGGGATGATAGACAAATTCATGGAGGAGAAGGCTATCCATGGCTACTAGTTCTGACGGCTAGATGCTACCTTGAGTATCTGGAGCAGGCTGCCTCTCTAGCATGGTGGGAGGGTGGAGTTGCACTCGTGCCTTGCTTGTGGGATCCTGGGGCAGCTGGTTGGCCGCTGCGTGGACAGAATGCTGTGGTCTAGACAGCCCCTTGGCCTGGCCCAGCAGGGCTCTTCTTATGCTCTTAGACCAGGTCACTGATCCATGTTCTAACCTGATGTCATCTGCAATGACCAGCAGAGGCTGTCCAGGGTTTCAGGTCTTCTTCAGCCCTGCTCCATGGCCCCCTGTTTAGCGGTGTTACCAGGGACTGACCCAGGGATCTGGCACATTTATTTATTTATTTATTTATTAAAACATTTTTATGCCGCCCCATTCGCCGAAGCCTTGGGGTGGCTTACAACAATAAATTAAAATAATTATAATCTTAAATTAAAAAATATAAACATTAGATTAAAAATACAAAAATACAGTATAAAATAAGCCACCCTGGCCAGATAAAATCCAATAATATTAACAGTTAAAATGCCGCTTAAATAAAAAGGTCTTTGCCTGACGCCGAAAAACAAATAACGACGGCGCCAGGCGGACCTCTCTGGGGAGCGCATTCCATAGATTGGGCGCCACTGCTGAGAAAGCCCTCCTCCGAGTACCTACCCTCCTAATTTCTTTCACAGAGGGTTCCCGGAGAAGGGCCTCTCCCGCCGATCTCAGGCGGCGGCTGGGCATATATGGATGTAAGCGCTCCTTCAGGTAACATATAAGGCCCTGTCCATTCAGTACTGTATAGACCCACTTTCCCCAGCCTGATGCCCTCCAGAAGTGACAGTTCCTCTCTCTGCAGCTGTACAGCAAGCTAAGTCGCCATGTCATATTTGCCAAGCTGGAAAGGTGCAGGACTGCAGCCAGATGGGTGACCACATGTGGCAACAGAGCAGGGGGCTGGAGTTAAGGGCCTTATAGGCCACTTCCATCTCTGCTACTACTCTGCTCTATTCTACTCTACTCTACTCTACTCTACTCTGTTCCCAGCATCCCTGACTATTGGCCATGCTAGCTAGGAGTGATGGGAGCTGAAAGCCAAAACATCTGGAGGGTACCAGTTTGGAGAAGGCTGCCATGTACAAGGAGACATTGGGTGCATGCCAAGATGCCAGACAGCGTCCTTGTACACT